GGAGGAGGAGGAGAAAAGGATGATGATGGGGAGGAAAGATGCCGGGAGAGAGGGCTGGCGGGCGGGCAAAGCGAGGGATGGAGGGCGTCGAGAAGAAGTTCTGGTAGACCTAGCAAATGATTGTTTTTTTGAGGAGGAGGAGGGACCCGAGGAAGGGAAGAAGGAGGAGGAGGAGGCGGGGCCCGAGGAAGGGAGAAAAGCCGGGCAGGTCTCGCCGGGCCACCGAGGGCGTCCCAGGGCAGCGGAGCGCCTTGGCTTCCGGCTACGGACCAAAGCACCGCAACTCTTAGGAGTCGTTTTGCGGGGGGAGGGAGGCACCCGGGACCCTAACCCCCCCCAAGGGTTCAGGGGAAAAAAAAGGGTGCCGGGCTCTCTCTTCAACGACCACTCCCAGCAATCCCGGCCAGCACAGCTCTCGGCAAAGGCTTCTGGGAGTTGTAGTCCGGGAACTTCTGGGGATCCAAGGCTGGGGGCCCCCTGCTTTAGTCTTGAAATTTATTTGTTTATATTGGGAGGGAGATAGTGAAGTTAACACACACACACACAAAGTTTCAATGGAGGGTGTCTTCACGGGCAGAAGCGACATGGGTTATGAGGAGCCTCCAGGTCTAAAGGCAGTCTACCTCTCCCTTGCCAGCAGGCGGAGAGGAGACCCAGTGGCACCTTTATTGCTAGATTTCTCCTGCTCCAAAATGGTGTCCTAAATTCGTGAGGTCCTAAATCTTACGTTTTAACAGAGATGCCGCCTACAGACAGCCCTCACTTGAACCCAGAGCATCTCAGGGGAAGGTCGGAAAAGACCTGACAGGTGGGGCCAAATTTTACCTCAGTTCCCTCTGGATGGTCACAAAGCAGCACAGATTTTACCCGGACCCGCGTCCCGACTTCCTGTTTCACATCTCCATTTCAGACGAGCATTTCTGGAAATCCTAGAGATCCTCATCATCATTGTGATCATCATCATCTTAGAACGGCAGAGCCGGATGGGGAACTCATGTCTCATCAAGTCCAGCCATCGTCAGGGAGGCCCAGTGGGGGAAATCGAACTCCTGACCTCTGACCTTTTATAATATGTAAGAAATCCATTTCCCTGCTAGGCCTTCCCTTCAAGAGCAACTTTTAGGGGTGCTTACTGAATGCCAATATAACGTTTCTGACTGTGAAGCTTGGACCATGGAAATAAACTTTGTGGGAAGCACGGTAGCACTACACTAGGCCGTCCCAGGAACAAACTGGGACACAAAAAAAAACATGTTTGAAAGAGGGATGAAAAACACAGGGTGTTGCTCTAAATATTACCACTCTGACCGAGACAAAGGAAACGTCATATGGATGGTGGCGAAAATTCTAGGAACATCAGTGAGAAATCAGTACATAATGGAGGGGAAACGGCCTGTCCGGAGGAGCTCTTTGGCCATCAGATGGGTGATCCTGAGAGGCTACGAATCATAACCGCCTTAGCCGACATAACCAAAGTAGAGGGATAATGGGAGATGAAGTCCAAGCACATCTGGAAGGTGTGTGTAGGCAGTCCTGCGCTGGAGGGTCTGAGGCAGTGGCGCAGTAGAAACCAGGTTCCCGTATTCCTTTTTAATTAAGCTCTTCGTTTAGAACTTTTTGACTATTCTTGAGATCGTATAGTTTATTTTTTTTTTTTTTGTCCTGGTTTGCTCCCGTCCAGGTTTTCCAGTCAGAAGCTTTACTTTGGTTTCACAATGGCAGGAGACCGGTTTGGCATGTGGGGTGGGGGGCTCCAGCGTCTAAACCCCGGCACTTCCGGGTAAAACTTGAGAAAGCCGCCCCTGTTAGGAGTCCTCCGCATGGGTGGCACCAAGGATCAAACCTACTTGATGTCAGAGTCGTTTCTGGGATAATAAATCCAAACTAGGGATCTTCTGATTGATTGTCCGGCCAGGCGAGGTTGGGGATGATGGGAACTGGAGTCCAAAGACTCTAGTCGGCAAAACCAGTTCCACCGATAAGTAACTGACGGGAGAAAAATATGCCAAAGATGCTCCGGACACAGTGAGAGCCGCTTTACCATCCGCGCCGGTTCTTTGAACAAAGTTTCATTTTACAGAGGACTGTGAGCCATTGAGGTTTCTGGTCGCGCCCCTAACTTTACGGGCAGGGAGTCGGAAATTCCTCTAGCGGGCTCAGTTCCTCGTTCCATTACTTGGTCTCATACAAGGCCTTGCCAAGGGAATTTATGTGTCCTCCCTCAAGGCCATAAAAACCTGCATCTCCTGTGGAGAACGTCCCCTGGAGAGGCAGTGTGGGGTAGTGCTTAGAGCAGTCTGCTCCAAAGATTTGGGCTGCCTGAGGCAGGCCATGGAGGCGACCGTAACAGAGCGCTTTAGGGGAAGGCTGGCCAGCTGGCAGCCTCCGCTGGCCTGCCCTGCCCTCACAGGTTGGGGGATTCTGGGACCTGTAGTCCCTTCCCCATTAACAAACACATGTTTCTTGAGGTTTGAAAGGACCAGATGCCTTTATCGAGAGAAGGCAGGGATTCCAACCGCAGAGATTGCCCGCTTTCTAAACATGCCAAGGCCTGTAATCTCTGCTCTGCATTTTTAGCTGGGCAGAAAATTAACAGGTCTGACCTGTTGGTTTATGTTTCTTTTTCTTTCAAGACGAAAGTCAACATATAAACAATAGGACTGGGCAAAGTGTTGTGGTTTTTTTTTTTCCTGGCAGAGAACCAACCTGGATTGCTCTGCCAATATTTGCAGATCAAAATCCTCTTAAAGGGGAAGGAAACGGAGCCAAGCTGTCGGGAAACGTGGGTCAAAAAGTTTGCGATGGGACAGGTGTGTGGTTGTGAGAGATACCGTCCAAGAAACCACCCTCTTAATAATAATAATCTATAATAATCTTAGAACGGCAGAGCTGGAAGGGATCCTAGAGATCATCCATTCCAGCCCCTGTCAAGGCGGCCCAGTGGAGGATTCGAACTCCCCACCTCTGGTTCCACGGCCAAAGACCTCAACCCCTGAGCTCTCCCAAGAACCCGAGTGGCTCCAGAGGAGACTTTTCATGGGGTAAAAAAAAGCTGTCATCAACCCTCACCTTCCCCCACATCCTTCTTACAAATAATGGGGCACTCTGTACATGCCCAGGAGCCCTGTTATGATTGCAGTATTTTCTATGCCAGCAAAAGATTTATAATTTTTTAAAAAAATTGTTTGATCCTGCCTTTCTCCCTTAAAAAAGGATTGTGTGTCCTTAAGGGACCACATTTAAAAGCTTAACAAAATATACAAAAAGAAGCAAGAAAGGTCACCCTAAAAATGGTCAACAACAAAACAAAAGTTCTGAGGTTTCTCTTGATCTGTTTTTCTGTGTCATTTAGTGGCTTCTAGGCCCCGATTTTTCTTCCAGGGCAATGCAGGCGGCTGCTCCTGCCATTGGCGTGACGACACCCCTAAAAAGCAGACCAGGCTGAGCCGAGAAGGAGAACGTCCCGGCGTCGCACCCTCGGTGGCCGGTAGACTCAAACGCCTCTCCGTCCAAGGTCCAACTGCCCAACGGAAAGGGGTGGGCCTGGGAGAATTTCGGGGAAACCGGGAAAGAGAGAGAGAGAGAAAATAATAATAAGGAAGACAGAAAGCCAGAAGTAAATACAGGTATAATTTATTGCCTTCTGCTTCCTGGTAGAGGACTCTGAACTCCCGAGAGGAGGTTTGTTTCGGTCTCTCTCTTCCCCGCTGGCCGGATTTTCTCCGCAGGGGCGGAAAGGATGGCCACCCCGCGCCCCTTGGCCAGGAAGCCGAAGGCCACCCCGCCACCCCACTATTACGAGGGCTTCCTGCAGAAGAAAAACCCGTGGGAAAAGGTAGGGTTTCCTTTCCGGACGGCTCGGAGCACCGGGTGGAATTCGAAGCGTCGCGCTCTGGGGGTTTCGGTCACCTTTGGGCCCCACCGGGAAAGGGGGTGTCAAAATCCTGCCCTTCGGCCAGAGAGCTCCTGCCGGCAGCAAAAGAGGACCCTGAAACACCCCCCTCCCCCAAATTTAACGCAGATCCTGCTTTGGGCTAACCAGCCCAGATTTTGCTTTTCTTGTGACTGTTTTTCTTTTCTCCCTCCACCTGGGACGGCTGGCTAGGACTACCAGAGATACTGGGCTGGGCTTCACGGACTCCTTCTGTACTTCTACAATGCCAGCCGGGATGTCCAGGTAAAGCTACGCCGGAGGGTGAGGCTGTGTGGCGTAACGGGCCCAGAGACAGTGCGGCCAAAACGAGAGGGGTGTTTTGACATCCTGTGAAAGAGCGGCCTCCAGACGGCCCAGTCTCCAAACCAGTGCTCACCTCTTGCAAACTCAAAAGCCGTGGCTTCCTTTAGAGAGCTGGTCCATCTTGCATTAGGTCTTCCTCTTTTCCTGCTGCCTTCCGCTTTGCCTAGCCTTATGGTCTTTTCCAGGGGAATCCTGCCTTCTCAGGATGTACCCAAAGTTACAACAGCCTCATTTTCCACATTGTTGCCTCCACAGAGAGTTCAGGCTCCTCACCTCTTGCAAACTCAAAAGCCGTGGCTTCCTTTAGAGAGCTGGTCCATCTTGCATTAGGTCTTCCTCTTTTCCTGCTGCCTTCCGCTTTGCCTAGCCTTATGGTCTTTTCCAGGGGAATCCTGCCTTCTCAGGATGTACCCAAAGTTACAACAGCCTCATTTTCCACATTGTTGCCTCCACAGAGAGTTCAGGCTCGATTTGATCCAGGATGTACCCAAAGTTACAACAGCCTCAGTTTCCATATTGTTGCCTCCACAGAGAGTTCAGGCTTGATTTGATCTAGAACCCCCCTTGTTCTCCTCTCTGGTTATTCTTTTTGCTGAATTAGTTTTGTACGGCCCAGTCTCCAAACCAGTGCTCACCTCTTGCAAACTCAAAAGCCGTGGCTTCCTTTAGAGAGCTGGTCCATCTTGCATTAGGTCTTCCTCTTTTCCTGCTGCCTTCCGCTTTGCCTAGCCTTATGGTCTTTTCCAGGGGAATCCTGCCTTCTCAGGATGTACCCAAAGTTACAACAGCCTCATTTTCCACATTGTTGCCTCCACAGAGAGTTCAGGCTCGATTTGATCTAGAACCCCCCTTGTTCTCCTCTCTGGTTGTTCAGAGTATTCGCAAAGCTCTTCTCCAGCACCAGATTTTGAATGAATTATTTTTTATCTGCTCCGACGCAGCACCAGATTTTGAATGAATTATTTTTTTATCTGCTCCGCCGCCTATCTACACTGTCCAGCTTTCACACCCATGCAGGGGGATGAAATACAAGAATGTTGGATGATCTTCATCTTTGGTTTCCCAAGGCACCTCCTTACTCTTGACAATCTTATCCCAAGGCACCTCCTTACTCTTGACAATCACACTTGATTGATTGATTCTATTTGTACCCTGCCTATCTTTTTAAGTTCCTTCGCCGTTGCCCTTCCAAGGGGAGCGAGTGCGAAGGAGTACATTTAAGACCATAAGAGGGCCCAAGCCGTGTCGTGGATAAGACGTGAAATCGGAAGAGCAAAGCCACTTGGGGATTCACTCTGCTCGCTCTTCCTCCCCAGTATGTTGAGAAAATTGACCTGGCCGATTTCGTCTCCCTCACCGACGAAACCCCCCCAAGAATGGTGGGAACCTGGTCCTCAGAAGGGGTGAGGATGACCCTGAAGACGAGAACACGAGAAGTGATGCTAAAGGTAATCCGTCTTTCTGTATAAAGCCCTGGCCTTGTTTTATGGAGGTCAGAGGAAAAGATTGAAGCTTTAAGGTTGGTTGGGAGAGAAGAGGATTTAATAAAACCAACCAAATTTCAGCCAGCCTCTCTCGGGGAGGCAAATCCTGCTACAACTGCAGCCTCCCCAAAACACACAACGGCTTGAGGACTGGAATGCATAGATTAATGAAGATCTGTTAGTAAAGCGGTGCAGAGTCTTGGGAAGTAGGGGGAGGGGAGATTCAGGCTTAGGGATTTTTTTTTTACTTCAAGTCTCATTTGAGAAGAGGAGGCACAGACTACAGCCTGCCCAAGGCTACAGGGGGCTGGTGCTTCTGGGATGCCCAGTGGGGAGATTCGAACTCCCAGCCTCTGGCTCCGCAGCCAGAGACCTAAGTCCCCTGAGCTACCAGCCAACCTGGGTAGCTCTAAGGAGCCATGAAAAGATACGGAGAAAGGGTAGTGGATCCACAACTCAGGAGCTGCTCAGGGTACAAGGTTTGCTTTCAGTAAAAGCCACCAGGGGAGATCTTGCCCCCATCCTGTGGGAGAGAGTTCCGCAGGTTAACTTTCCATTATGCTGCACAATGACCCTCTTTCATTGGCCCTGATCAAAAGGTGGTGCTTTTATTGGCGTAACGAAAAGGCCGGCCTGAGCATCTCATACGGTATGTAATTCGTGAAGTAAACTTTCTAAAGGACCCAGCTCAAAGCTCTCCGGCCCTAATTCTTTCTGCCTCGTTTTGTTTTGTTATTTTTAAAGTCACGAGATTGTTTTTCTCTGTTTAGCAAACAAAACCACAGCCATCGACTGGGGCTACGTCCCGGTTATCTGGAGATCTTTAGGTTGGCAAGACCTCACTCTGTATTGTTATTTTTTTAAATAACACAATAGCAGGTAACATTGCACGTTGAACAGACCCGAACGCCAACTCCATTTCCACGCATGGGTGAAGCGTTGACACACCATCCAGGTCCTGGTTAGCTAAAATAGATCTAACCTCGTTTATCAAGTGCATAACAAGTTTTCTGGGCGTTTGTAAAATAAGATTGCGATCCACAGAGGATCGGCTCCCTCCGCCCCAATGCTGAAAAATGCAGAAGGATTGAATGCTGTACATTCTACGGTTTTTTTTACTTCCCTAAATGGCCACACTCTGGAAATACATATAAATAGGTACTATTTCTGAGGTGTTTTTTTATTCCATACTTTAAGTCGCGGATAAGTGAATCTGTGGATATTGATCCCGCGGATAGGGGAGTCCTTACCTTGCAATGGGATCGCACCCATGCAACTTAGCAAATTTCTCAGGCTTTTTATTTATTTATTTATTTACAAGATTTTTTTAACAGCGCCATGACCCGTGGTCTCTGAGCGGCGTACCCCAATAATTATCTGTTTCTCCGTGTGATGTGTGGCCGTGTTTCTTTTCAGCTGGAGAGCCTGGAGTCCCGGGAGATGTGGAGAGGCATTATTCTCACCGTGGTGGAGGTGCGTTCGAATCTCCACCCCCTCTGTTAAATAACACTGTGCCGCTCGCGTTCAAGGAGAGCCAATTTGAGAGTTGTCCCGTGGCTCCATGATCAACTCGGAAGGGTGGGGTACTCGCCGCGGGATCCCCCCGCCGTTCACCCTCACCCCGTGGATTGGTCTGTATCCATAGAGGAGGAGCGGGTCTTTTGTAAAGCTAATGGTTCTTAATCGCCCACCATAGCACCCTGGAAAATGTGGCATCAACTCACCACTTCAATCCATGTTTGGAAGCAACCAGGAATTCATATTGTAGGGCAGATGATGCCATAAATCCCTGGTGTTTGTAAAATCTTTTAACCTTGGCCCCCAAAATAGTGTTGTCTGCATGGCAACACTGGTCTCCTCATCTGCCTGCGGCATGTCCTCTCATCCCATCTGGTGTCCTTCATTCCTCAGCTGAAAGTGCCTTCTACTCTGGCATTGCTTCCCGGACACCTTTATATGCTGTCCGAAGCGCTGGAGAAGGAGAAACAGCGTCGCTCCAAGCCAAGCCAAGCCAACGTGAAAGAAGAGAAGGAACTTCCAAGGTGAGTGAATAAGAACAGGACAGGGCTCTTAATTTTAATTTCCTTACATCCCTCTGGCCCAAATCCTGATGGCAGATTTGATTTAAGGTCAAATCTGAAGAAGAAAGGTGTGTCTACTGGTGAGGGTGGCCCTTTTCCCTCCAGAGACATGGTTCCTTCAAAGCTTCATGCCCTGAGCAACCAGGCAGGGAAGCTTTCTCCTCGCCTCCCCGTGCTTGGTCCGAAAACGAAAGCCAGCTGATTTGCGGTGGCCGAGGGGAGATGGGAGCCCGGGCTTCTGGTTGGGCTCAAAAGAATGCTGTAAATTTTTCAACAAAGAATATTGTTCCTCCATACCATTTCAGTCTGGCTATGCCAGGCATGGGGTTTTTTTGCCTGCTACTGTGTTGCCGTTTTGCAATACCTCTGATCGCCCACCTCCGTGCTTTAGCTGCTTCTTCAGGGTCTCTCGGACAGAGGCCGAGGTGCTTCTGGAGAAAAATGAAAACTGCGGAAATATGTTATTACGGCCCGGTAGAGACGGGAAAAGCATCTCTGTGACCACACGGCAGGACGTGAACGGGTGAGTTTCTCTGGCCCAGCTCTGCTGCTGGCTTTGATGGGGGACTGTAAACCATGGAAACCAATGACCGTGGGACCCCTGAATCTGTAGGGGATTGGTTCCAAGCCCGCTGTGGATGCTGAAGACCGTGGATAATAGCAAACTCAATATATAGCATGATAAAAGAAGAAAAAATCCAGAAAACAGTATGGTATTTTCACCACGTATTACCAGAACTGGCCACTAGAGAGAGCCAGAGACCATGTTATTCTTCACTGACAAGAACACAGAGCATGATCTCGGGCTCCTTCTAGTGTTCAGTTCTGGTAAATACATATTGAAAATACATGCTGTATTTTTCTTTTCTTTTTTCTTTTAATATTTTTAATATTTTCAGACAGCCGAAAAATGAAACTGTGGATACTGATCCTGTGGATACAAGGATCCTACTGTATTACGCAAAGCCATTTCTAGAAGGTTAAGGAGAAACCCTTTTAAGGAAAACGATTGCTAAACTGCTGGATAGCTCAGGGGTTTAGGTGGAGCCAGAGGTTGGGAGTTCGAATCCCCCATGGGGCCTCCTTGATAGGGACTGGACTGGATGATCATTAGGGGACTCTTCCTGCTCCACAGTTCTAAGAGGATGATGATGATGGTGGACTTTCATTTTATCTTCCCACTGCAGAACCGTCACTGTCAAGCACTATAAAATCCAGGTGGATTGTGGAGAATACATCATTGATGTGGAAGAGCCGGTAAGGGGGTGATGGAGGTGTGGGTCTCAGCTACCTCAATGGTTAAGCCTAGGGTATGCTCTCTGGGGGTAATGGGATTTGTAGTGTCTCTCCTCTGGAGGTCACAGGTTCAAGGTTAGTTTCATTGCCTCCAACGTTTTTCTTTAAAGTCACATTGCCTCGTCAAATCGCTGGAAAAGCTTCGCAGGATTTTGATAATTTTTTTAACCAAACTTATGATTTTTATCAAAATAATCATAATCAGAATTTCAAGTCGTAAAGAGTTAATTTGATACCAGAAATAGGAAGGCCTTTAAATCCAGATCGTTTTCCAGCCACCCAGTGGGACGGAACTGGCCCGTTTCACTTTTCCTTCCACCGTCAGATTCTGAAACAACGTCTTCAGTCCCTTTGCCCCTTTCGGAAAGTTCGGATAAAAATACAAAACGGGCGCAATGCTTCCCGGCCCTGTTTTGCTTTCCCGTTTTGGGAGCCTTAGGGAAATGATCTGAAAACGCTTGATTGGAGCAGGCGCTTAACTTCCCCAACCCCCATCTCCTTCGCTGCCTCCCCAGTTCCGCTGTTCGTCGCTCGCCCAGGTGGTGGAGTTTTTCGTGACCAACAGCAAAAGGGTCCTGGTTCCACTGTCCGTCGACGAGAGCTACGCCATGACGTTGGGTAGGTGATTTTGGGGGGTGGGGTGGGGTGGGGGTTCCTTTGAGGCCAGAAATGTTCCTCCAGAGCCTTGGGAGAGAAAAGCTTCACGAGAATGAGGGAAAACACTATTCAACTTGGGAGGAGGAGGAGGAAGGAAGGGAGCCCCAGAGCAACAATCTACATAAAGGGCTTACTTAGAAAAGATAAGAACAGACTTCTGCCCCAGCTCGGCTTCTGAGTAAAATACATTGGGAATAACCAAGCGTGATGTATCTTTTTACTGTTTTTGGTACATTTACTTGTACGTTTGGTCTATGACCGTATGAAACTTGATCTGATGTATCTTTTCATTTTCTCAACCTCATCCTTCATCACTCAGAAAAAATAATAATAATAAGGAGCGGGCATTGGTTGCAGATCAGCTGCACCATTTTACAGTTTGGCATTAGAGTGTGTGTTCTGCGGTCTCTCTCGCATCCGGGACTTAGAAGGAATGGCTTTTCCTGAGTCCTGACCTTCTTTTCTGTCTCCGTTTCCCTAGAGATCATGGAGATGGATAAAGAAAGCGGGGAAAGCATCTCGGTGCCGGCCAAGACGGCTGGGGCGCCCCCAAAACATCTGAAAGGTACCTTCACAGCTCATCCGAAAGCTGAATTCGTCCCAGCTCCTCGCTGAGGACCTGGTGCTTGTGCTGCCCTCAAATTCCCCATTGCCTTTAGTGAACGCTCTTGGGTTTCTTATCTAAGGAGTGCTATTTTTTATTATTATTATTTTAGATTAGAGATTCTGTTGTTGTGGATTCCTGTACGGCTGTCATCCTCCAGGAATTCCTGCATGGCTGGGGGCTGGACTAGATGACCTTTTGATGCCTCTACCAACTCAGCCATCCTTGAAGTCTACAAACCTCACGTTTGCCCGCTTTGCCTCGCAGGTAGCCCTGGAGGAGAAAAACCGTCCCTGCCCCCGAGAGACCGACCACCTCTTCCCCGTCCTCCACCAGTCCCCCCAGTTAAGCCCCCAGTCCCCACCAGAGAGGACCAACCCGAGCACGTCTACATGCAGGAAGATCCCCCGGAGCAGACCTACATGAACGACGGTGAGTCAAGGAGGTCCACCGCGCTTGGAAAGGGCGCAGTGTTTTTCCACAACTTTAGTTGAACTCCTTCCTTCCTCTGGTTTTACTTTCGCGCGAACGAAAGCATTAGCAAATGTTAAATTCAAATTCTCGCCAGTTCCTTCTTGTCAGGATGCAAAAGGGAAGCAGAAACAGAAAACATTCTCTCCCCCCCCCCTCAAAATCCGCCCTTGCTCAGATCCTTTCCACAATGTGAAGGGGAAGTTACTTTTCAACACTTCAACAACAATCAAGACAACAGAACCCCCTTATCCGCGGGATCAATATCCGCTGATTCCTGTATGCATGGTCTGAAAAATATTTTAAAAGAAAAATCCTAGAAATGTATATTTTTAAAGGGACGGTTACCAGAACAGGCCATTAGACGGAGCAAGAGATCATGCTGCCTATAGTGTTCACAATAATCTGCATTTTTCAGTATCCACGGGGGGGGTTTGGAACCAACCCCCCGTGAATACAGAGATCCTTCTGCATCAAATAATCTGCATTTTTCAGTATCCACGGGGTGGGTGGGTTTGGAACCAACCCCCCCGGGGATACAGAGGTCCTTCTGCATCGTGCATTGCAGGGAAAATACATTTAAAATAGCCATCTTAGCAGAAGAGAAACCTGCGTGTGTGTTTTTCAACAGACCCTTTTCATACGGGGGGGCACGTGGCTTGCCCTTGCTAGAAAAAGGCTTTCTCTTTTCTTTGCTGTTTTTTCTTGTCGAACATCGTGCCTTCCATCGGAATAGAGGACACGGATTCAGTCGAGCCAAACCCAAGCTTTGGCTTCCTCGAGGATGTTTATGTCCCGTATTTTTGTAAGGCTCGGCGTCCCTTATTCCGGGTGTTTTTCTCATCCTCCGAGATGTGGCCGAGATGATGCGGACCCCATCTTCCGGACGCCAGGAAGCCAGGCTTTTTAAAAATCAGAAACTGACCCCTTTCTCACAACCTAAGACTTATTTTCTTAGACTCTGCAACCAACCAGCCATCATCATTATAATTCTGATTGATGGCAGCCCTCTTCAGGGTTTTCCCCGTAGATGGAATACCCAGGTGGTTTTTTCCCATTCCCTTCCTTTAGGGGGCGCTCTGGGATGGTGCCGCTTGCCCAAGGCCACCCAGGCTGGCTGTTCTCCTGGGATGCCCGTAGGGAGGGGGGATTCGAACTCCCAACCCTACGGCTCCACAGCCAGAGACTCAGACCCCCTGAGCTATTCAGCCGAAAGGAGACACATAACAGGTGGGAAGTCAAGGCGACACTTATAGCTCCTGAATCTTTTCCTAAAAGCTCCAGTAGTGTTATTTGGGGGTTTCTCGTTTTGCAGCCTCACCTGTCTTCAGAAGCCCCCCAAAAGTGACTCAAAGAACCTCTGGCCGCCTGGCGTCGCTCCCCAGAAGTTTTTCGATTGGTAAGTCAACACCCCACTCACCAGTGGGGTGGCTGAGGGAAGACACGCACAGAGAGAACTGGGGGGGGGCATGTTTCTCACACACAACCCTGCAAGGTAGTATGGATGGTGGGGCAACGGGGGGGAGGTCCTGTCGGGCAGAGGTAGGGGCGCCAGGGAGAGTCCCGAGGAAACGTTTCTCACACACAACCCTGCAAGGTAGTATGGTTGGTGGGGCAATGGGAGGGAGGAGGTCCTGTCGGGCAGAGGTAGGGGCACCAGAGAGAGTCCCGAGGAAACAGTGAATGTTCTCTCTCTCTCTCTCTCTCTCTCTCACACACACACACACACACACACACAAATGACCAGCAAGGGAGGACATTAAATGTAATAATTAATCACGATTTTTTTTCCATGGTGAATGTTCACACACACACACACACAGAGGCGAGGATTCGCAGATTCACACAACAGACGGGGAACCACACAGAACACGCAGACATTCAGCCATCTTGGAAGTCACAGCGAGGGGTTAGCCGAAAATTTAGGGGAGGTCACCCCCCCCAGTAAAATGACCAGTAAGGGAGGAAATTAAATGTAATTAATCCCGAATTTTTTTTCCATGGGGGGGAGAGAGAGAGGACGGAGGAGAGAAAAGAAGGGTTTATTCTGTCATTGTACCTCAAGGCACATAAAAACCTCAGGGCCACTGGGCCTAAGAAGGCCAAGCCTACAAACCAAGGTCTCCCCCATGTTGTCTCTCCGCAGGCATGTCTGAGGAGCTGGAGCGGAAACTCCAGGAACGGAGGGCCACCCTTCAAGAATGAGAACCCGCCAGCCTCTGGCTTTCAGGGAGAAGGATCAGTGCTCTCGAACTCGCGCTTTTGGGCGTCTCTGGACTCCGAGATATAAACCATTGCTTATCCTTTTTTGCAAGAAAAAGGCAAATTTTCAGTTTGATTTCACAGCTCTGAGCTAAACGGCCCAAGGGTGTGGCTTGGGCCATCCAGAGTTTTTTTTAATTTGAAAATTCGGTCAAAATCATGAGGACCGGATTCTCTTTATTTCCAATGTGTGGGGGATCTTTTTGCTTGGGGGGGGGGTAAGAGTTCGACAGAGCCGCCAGACGTTCCACAGGGGAAATAGCTAAGCTGGATGGCCTGATCTCATCTTGTGACGGAGAGTCCCACCGGGCACTGAGACGTGGAAAAAATGCATGGCGCCCAGTCCACATACAAACACAGCAAGTTGGTGGGTTATGCAGAAATCTAAAGTTTATTATTAAGGCCGGAAGCTGAGTTTTCGTGTGTGTAGTGAGACAGTAAAAACACAAATTTTTCAAACAGAAATATTAATTCAAAATAAAATTCTCTAGACTCTCACCTTTCTTCCCTTGACATTCACAAAGATGCATTTTTTTTAGTCTATAAGGCCCAGAATCCACAACCATCTCAACCAGAGGATAATGGGATGTGTAGTCCGGAGCCCATCCCTTTCCCGAACTTTACCGTCTGGAACCTTGCATGCATTATTTCAGGTGGGGTGAACCAAACCAAAGGGGGGAAGTGAACAAATATGGTAGGGCCCCCCGTATCCACAGGATAAATACCCGCGGATTCGCTTATCCGCGGTCTGAAAATATTTAAAGGATAATCCCCCCCAAATACCTGTTTTTAACATTAAAGTCACCAGAACTGGCCCTTAGAGGGAGACAGAGGCATGCTATGTATGACATTCATTTTTAAAATAGCATTCTGCATTTTCCAGGATCCACAGGGAGGGGTGTGGGCTTGGGAGCGAATTCCCATGGATACGGGGGTTCCTATTGTAACCTACATTAGAGACATGACCCTGATTTCCCAGGAGGCCTAGCAAAGGGGACTGGTGCACCGTGGCCCTATATAATGTCAACGTTGAGCTGCCAGCCTCCCGAAAAACTCAGCTTTCTGTTTCAAATGAAACCAAGTTTCTGTCCCTCATGGTGGCTGAGATAGGAAGGAAGCGTGACGGACCTGCCTGCCGGGATCTCCCTCACTAGAGGAGAGACTGGAAACAACCGCCCAGATTCATGCATGCTTCCCACCCCCCGGGACCTCTCCACTTCTGCAGTAAAATAAAACTTAAGTTGCTATCCCTCATGATATAGAGAAAATAAGAAGGATGAGCAGCAGGCAGGACAAACGTGGCAGAACCGTGGTGTGCTCTCAGAAAGACATCCCAGCAGGATCTGTGGGGGTTTACTCATGTAAATCGCTTCTAGGGCTGCACTGGGGCCAAAGCCAAAGATCCTTTTCCGACAATGCTGGAAATTTGGGCGAACAATCGGAGAAACTGCAGTGAAACAGGTTTTGGACAGCCAAATTCGTCATACCCAAAGGTTGGCCTCTTCGTCCTGCTCCCGTCCCAGTTTCCCTCCCCTCGTGGCTCACTCCTTACTGAGATTTTTTTTTGGGGGGGGGAGGAATGAACGCTGGTGTGTCCCACATCAAGGGAGCAGCGAATCCACTCTGGGTTTTCCACTTCCCAGAGCTGTCCAAGAGGCTNCTGGTGTGTCCCACATCAAGGGAGCACCGAATCCACTCTGGGTTTCCCACTTCCCAGAGCTGTCCAAGAGGCGCAACTCGATTCCTAAGCCACTCCAGTCCCTTAGAGAGCTGCTTTTTAAAAAAATCGGGCTGAAACCCAGAGCTGATCCTGCAATGAACTGGTCTCACTCAGAGTGCCGGGTGCGAAACAGCCGGATGCCGGATTTGAATATGAAAAAAGAAACCTAGCATGGAAGAGATGCAGACACACTCGCACCCGGTGGCGGGCGCAGCGTTTTGATCCGTACGATACCCACCGCCCGGGCTCCTGCTGAAGGCAAGAAGTGGGGGATTTGGCAGCAGGAGCCTTTAAAGAAACCTGCAGCAGATGACAGCAAGACACGTGGTTTACAATCGTAGACAGATAAAATAATCCATAATACATTCGTGGCGTGGAGGTTTGGGGAAGGTTTTCCAGTCCGTTTTGAGACTCAGAATTCCAAGTGTTTCCTTCGAGAGGGGGGAAAACCGCACTCATTTTGGGAAGAAAAATAATAATAATAATACTGCAAGAGAAGTCTGTTTCCCCGGAGAGTTGGAAGGTGGCGAGGCTGGCGTTCTCCCGGGGCGAATGGGCGGCGTAGTTTTCCTAAGACAAGCTGGCGGTGGAGCTGCTGGTGGCGCTGTTCCGTTTCTGAAGGCATTTGACCGCGCTGGGGACTTGCAGGCCAGAATACACGTGGAAACTCCCGCACCAGACCTACGTGAAAAAAGAGAGCGAGAGAAGGGGGGGGGGGAATCTCGGAATCCAGGCCACCGGCTGCTCCTGCAGCGGGGACCTTTGGCCCTTCCTGACATCTTGGGACTACGACGCCCATCATCCCCAGCTCAGGGGTGACGGGAGTTACACCACCCCGGGAGGCTCACAGCTGCCCTGCCCCCAATATCGCCCAATCCTCTCTCAATACAATGACCTTAAAAGCAGGATGGATTACAATTCCCATGATCCCCCATCCATGGGGAGGATGGGAGCCACATCCAATGACATCTGAAAATCCATTTTTCACCGCCTCTGGTTTATCTGTGCATCCCACTGACAGCCGATGCTCACCCCCATCCATGGGGAGGATGGGAGCCACACTCCACTGACTTCTAATAAGCCATTTTTCACCACCTCTGGTTTATCTGCTCATCCCACCGACAGCCGATGCTCGCTTGCCGATTTCTGCACATCTGCCCTCCCTTGCTCCAAATTCACCCCATTTTCTGCCCTCCGTTGCCGTTATTAGGTCCGATTGCTGCAGGTCACCAGGAGAGGAGGAATCGACACCCTTTGTCAATGTGTACACTTTTGCTCTGACTTGCCTCTCCCTGAACATTATTGCATGAAAGCTGCGGTTCTTTGCAATTTTTCGACCACCGCGAAAACAGCCTCATTCCTGGCCCAAAACCTCTTACCATAAAAGCTGGGAGAACGGGTTGGGTGAATCTGGCCCGAAAGGTATGCAGCTGCTGCTTGGTTTTGGCGTTGTAGAACGAGAGGAAGCCTAGAAGTGAGCGAGAGGGGGAAAGACACGAGGTGGGTTCGCTCAGGACAGGAAGAGATAGATCCACAGTCTGCGGCGTGAGCCCAAGGAAGTGGGAGAGAACAGATCCCAAATAAACCTTGCCAGATTGTGCCGCAAGATCCCGCTAGCCTAGCCTCCTGGGATCGGTTCCAAGCCACATCCCCCCCCCTTGCAGATGCCAAAAACCACAGATAACAACAGACCCTACACTCCACAAAGTATCTGGCGCTCTCTTGTGGCCAGTTCAGAAGATTACACCATGGAAATACATATTCCTGTAGTGGTTTTTTTTTCTTTTGACATTTTTAATATTTGAAAACAAATGAAATTGTGAATGCCGATCTCGCGGAGATAGGAAAGGAAGCGTCTGCCCTCTGTGACCACCAAACTCCTCTGCCTTCTCTCTAACCTTCCCTTGACCCTCTCCGGTGATTAGTCGCCGGGTGGTGACCTCACCTTCGTGAAAATTGCAGTAGACGCCGATGACATCCGGGACCACCACGTCTAAGAGCTTGGCTTTGTTGTTGTGCTTGGCGGTGAAGCTGACCTGGAGCCAGTTGTTCAAGTGGAGGCACCAGGAGGATGGGGTCTTCCCCAGCTGGTCGAACTTGCCCAGGCTCCGGTACGCCACGCCGACGGCAAAGGCTTTGCTATCCCGGTCGTAGCGCACCTCCCAGTAGTGCTCGCCTGCGTCGATCAATGTGTCGCCTACGGCAGGAGAAGGAAGAAACCCCGTTGGGCGCGGGATCCGGAGAGGGACACGCTCCTTCACCTCTTCTTGAGATAACACGGGCCGAGAGGGTGCACCGGGGGGGGGTTTGGAACCACAAGCTCTGTGGCTGGATCCGGCCCCCTCCCATTTTCCAAAGGGACACCCTTCTGGGTTCAGATTTCACTGCACTTTCTCTTAAGCGGATGCAGAGTTTCGTCTGGAAATCCAAATTATCCCTGTCAAAATTTAGGGAAAGAAACACAAAAACCTAGGCCACATTGGGGAACGATGATCAGAAACGCACGGTCCTAAATTGTTAATCCTTCACAACCGCCGAATTCCAGCCAACTGGGCAAATACAGCGTATAAAAAATATATCGTCTTCAATAGTACTTTTTTAAAAAGTGATTTAAAAAAAGAGATCAGAACATTCCCGAACTTTGTCCGTTCAATAGTACTTTTTTAAAAAGTGATTTTAAAAAAAAGATCAGAACATTCCCGAACTTTGTCCATGTAGTAAACCTGTCCGTATGACTCTTCCCATACGTGTCAATGTTGGTTTTTAATAATAATAATATAATTTATTGTCATTGTAAGTATATACACAGTATACCATACAACGAAATTCACAAATTTTAGCTCCGCCCCTGGACTTTCTGGAACCTTCCCTGCCCCACCAACAAATTGGCTCCGCTCAGCTGCTCCCTGATGGGGAAAACCCGAGCGGAAAGGAGAGGCGCCTCAATCGGGTCTAAAGTTGGCAACCCAAAAGGGCCCGCCTTACCCAATACTGTGTAGGATTCAGCGGTGAAGCGATCCCGTCCCCCTCGACCCGTGGGCATTCTTTTTGGAGACTGGAGGCTCCTGCGCGAAAGAAGGACGGAAAGACAAGAAGGAAATACGGGAGCGTTGGCATGCAAAATAATGACCGTGGAGTTTGGGTTCAAGACGCCAACCTGCACAACTCCACCTAGTTTCCTGCTGAGAAAGAAAGCTCCCAGCTAGCACTGGGACAGAAACAGGAAGCTAGGCCTAGCTCCCTCTTAGCCGGTTCTCCTGTATCCACAGGGGATCAGTTCCAATCTGCCCCCTCCCCGTGGATACTGAAAAATGCAGATGATAGTGAACACTATTGGTAGAGTGAACATTATGCATAGCATGGTCTCTGGCTCCGTCTAGTGTCCAGTTCTGGTAACTTCATCTTTTAAAAATAGATACTGTATTTAAAGGATTTTTCTTTTAATATTTCAAAATATTTTCAGACAGCGGATAAGTCAATCAGTGGATACGGGGATCCTTCTGTATTGTGATTGTTTTCTTTGCTGTGGCCTCTCTGTGTCGTGTCCTGCTAGGCCAGAGGAGACGGCCCGAGCGAGCGTACCTTGCTGGGGAGTTCACTGGCGAAGCGGTACGGCCCTTCCCGTCTTTTTCTCGAGCCTTGATGTCCTGCACTTTTCCCCCCATGGCGTCCCATTCCACACTGAGGTCTTCCACCTTGAGATTCTGGTGGCTGGTGGAGGAATCCAGCCGGAACATGAAGGCTGAAAACGAAAGCAAAGGATTTTATTCCCCTCACGAGATCGGCTCTGTAGGACAGCAACAACCGGAAAGGACTTCATCATCATCATCATCATAGAACGGCATTGCTGGAAGGGATCCTAGAGATCATCCAGTCCGGCCTCTGTCCAGGAGGCCCAGTGGGGGATTCGAACTCCCAACCTCTGGCTCCACAGCCAGAGAGACCTCAACCCTTGAGCTATCTAGCAAACTAGATTCAGAAATTTGCTCACAACCTCTGCTCTCAAAGCAGACTTAAGCCATCAGCTTTTTAAAAAACTGAATTCTTGAAATAATATTTAAGGGTTGCCCATCTGGCACATAAATTCTGCTGCAGTTTCCACTGGTCCCTAGCCTTGTGTTCGCTGCTTTCAGACAACACAGCATCCTCACCATAGAGGTGCGGGTGGTCCCGATTTTGTGGTGCTGGTGAATTCACTCCGGGTTTTTGGTCAAACTTCCCAGAGGTAGCAAGGAAGGAAGGAGCTGATGATGGATAGAAGGAAGGAAGGAAGGAAGGAAGGAAGGAAGGAGCTGATGATGGATAGAAGGAAGGAAAGAAGGAAGGAAAAGCTGATGATGAATAGAATGAAGGAAGGAACTCACCTCGCGTCTCCAAGGTGACAGGCTCAGAGAACTCCCCAGCCACTGCCTTATTACATGCTTTGACCCTGAAATTCATGTATTTCCAATCAAACTTCAGCCCTGTGGAAGCGATTAAAAAAATGGCATCCATTCAGAAAGAGGTCATTCTGACTTCCGGAGCGAGGGCTCTCTCTCTCTCTCTCTCTCTCTTCCACACACACACACACAAACACCCCTGCCCACTGTGGGTCCAATCCCCCCCGCCTGACCGGAGAGGGTGTATTCGGTCTCCTTGATGCCCTCGATCACCATCCAGGGCTGGTCTTCTTTCACCCGAGGTGGCCCCTCGAAGTTGGTCTTGCGGTACTCCAGCACGTAATGGTCAATTTTGCTGTCCTCTTCCGGCATCTTCCACACCAGCGTCACGCAGTTGTCGGCCACCAACGATTCTGCCAGGTCGATCTCGGGCGCGCTGGGGACTGGGGGGGGGACGGCCAAACGGGAGGGTCACCAGCGTCGCCCGGAGCTGACCCTTCCCGGCTCCTGCCTTTCCTTTCAGCAGCTTCATGTCTTCCCACCCCCACCCCGTGGTCTGCACAAATTTTGGGAACCAGCCTCTCCCCAGTTTCCAATGGGTCAAGTGCACTAGACTACAAAAGAAGCTCCTGCTGGGTTCCACCCCTCCGCTGCTTTTCTCTTTCCACAGAGCCGTAGGTGGAGGAGATCACCCATCATCATCTTTGATCTGCAGAGCTAGAAGGGACCCTATAGATCATCCAGTCCACAACTAGAAGGGACCCTATAGATCCACATCTAGAAGGGATCCTATAGATAGTCCACAGCTAAAAGGGACCCCATAGATCATCAAGTCCACATCTAGAAGGGACCCTACAGATTGTCCACAGCTAAAAAGAACCCTATAGATCACAGGTAGAAGGGACCCTATATACCAAGTCCAGTGCTAAAGGGGACCCTATAGATCATCAAGTCCATAGCTAGTCCAAGTTTGTAACATACTGGTACGCTTGCACCAGGGAAGAAAAGCCCACCAATTTCCAGTGACATCACGACAGCCTGACAAGATGACAACCAACCCGAGATCACCCAGTTTTCTTCTTGGCCAAAGGAGGGCTAGAACCTTGATCTCCCTCCATCTCCGTTTGGCGCTGTGACCCCCACAGACCCCCTGTTCCCATCAGAGCCTCTCCCAAAGTTACCTGGCAAAAATTTCAGAGACTGCAGGATCCGGCGTTCTTGGGCAAAATCGACCATCAGGTGGCTCATGTTGTCGCTGACTTTGGCTTTGAGTGATAGCCGGAAGGCGGGGGCCATGGTCACGCTGCGGGATGCCGAGGAGACGACAGGGATTTTGGGGGGGGGGAAATGAAGGATGATGACAAAACACATCCCAAAGTTTAGACCCCGAGAGAATTTAGCCAAGTCTCAGAGGTTAATAAGGGTGACTTGACCTGCCTTTATGAAAGGGATCGGATTCAGCACCCTGGAGAGCTCTGGTGTGGTGCAGAGTAAATCCTGAACTGGCTTTCACGCCCCCATGGAAGCGGAGTCACCCATTTCTGCAGGCTGGCCAGAAAGGACAGATAAACTGTCTCTGGGCGTGTTTAAAAACACACTTGGAAAGCTGGGATTGAGGGACCCGGAGGCACGCGCAGAGTGCCTCGGGCTCACCAGGAAGTGACCACAACTATAAGCATTCAGGGAGCCGACTGGAGGGGAATTATTGAGACAAAGTTTCAAATAAGGATAAAGGCCCCCTCTGAACATGTGCCGAATGTTTTTCCCTGAGGCCCCTTGCCTCAAAAAAAAAGGAAAAAAAGGGCATGGGAATCAAACCACAGCATCCCAAACCAGGGGATGGGAGGGATTGAGCAACTCTGGAACCCAGGACCAGGTAGAGTTCCGTGGGCACCATTTTATGCTCACACGGGGGAAAAAGGCCAGCCCTGTCGATGTACAGTCTTGGGCGGGCCCCGTACCTGTCTTTGATCTGTTTCGCCGCCTTTGGGGAAGCATGAGGAAAGAGGGAGAAGGGGAGGCAGGAGGGAGAAATGGAAGAGAGGGGAGGAAGAGAGAAAACAGGGACATCAGAAGAATGGGCCAGAAACAGCAACATTTAGGACAACCCAACAGAAAAACCCATGCATTCCTATTTTGCCTGTGTAAGCGCATCAAGCATGTTGCGTTTGTAAATCTGAATATTTTTCCCCTCCTTGCTCACCCACAGAGGAATCGGGGCACCCACCATGTCACAGCCACTGTCCATCCGCTCCGGGTTTTGGGCCGAACTTTACGCCATTGCTGAACCATTTTTTTGGGGGGGGAACACAGCTCGGTGCTTGGGGGTCAGTGTGCTGGGAGGTTCAGCAGGCAAAGCCTCACTCTTGTTTTTTTTTCCTCTCCCCCTTTCCTCTTTTTACCTGGTTGAAATCGTGGTTTTCCGCACCTTGGAGGGTCTGGTTCGCCGTCTCCAGCAAGTCCTCCGAGCTCTCCAGAGCCTTCGCACAGGCGGCGAGCTGGTTCTGTGCCGCAGCGAGCCAAAAAAAGGGGGGGTTACTGACAACCCAAAGATCACAGGCAGAGTAAAAACCTTATGCATGGATTTTTGCACACACTGTTCGAACGGAAAGAGCGCCTGAGCAAAACCAGAGGGCTCCTGGGCATGCACAGAGTGCACGGTTTCACAGCGACATCCCCATCCGCCGGAACCAACAGAAGAGTCACTCTCTCACACACACATCTCTCCCTCCCTCACCGTGTGAGCAAAACTCCCATCAGACCCAACTGGAGTAGCTTGTGGTTGGGGGATGATGGGACATGGAGTGCTGCACAGCGAGGGAAGGCCCCTTCAGCCCATGCCTGCTATCCCAGGAATGCTGTGATATCCTTAAGATTAAGGTGCCCAGGTAGAGAGAGAGAGATGGGCTTAAGGGAGGAATCACATTAAGATTAAGGTGCCCAGGTAGAGAGAGACAGGTTTAAGGGAGGAATCATGGCTGGGAGGAATGGCTCTATGGAACCTCCATGGCCTGCCGCAGTGTATCTTTGAAGAACAGTTTTTTCTTTTTTGAAGGCAACTGTTTCAAGCAAATGGAGGGTCTGGGAGGAAAAGCAGAGTTCCCTCTTACCTGGAGCTCGTACGTCCGGCTGGCTCGATCCTGCTTGATCTTCATGATCATCCCTTCCTTCAGCTCGTCCAGCAAAGAGTAGAGTGACTGAAACTCGCCTTCTAGATCCTTCTGGACCCGATCCGAATTGGCCTGGTGGAAGCAAACAAACCTGAGTGAAACAGGAGAACCGTAGAGGTGCTATTTCGCCATTTGCAGCCTTTATTTCCATTCTTCCGCTGCAAAACTCCCGGAATACAGTAGGTCCCCCTTATTCATGGGATCAGTATCCGCTAATTCACTCATCCCTGCTTTGAAAATACTAAAAAAATATGAAATGGGGGGAAAAACCGAACAACCCAGAAATATGTATTTCTAACAATCACTTTCCCACAAATTGCAGCCTTTATTTCCATTCTTCCGCTGCAAAACTCCCAGAATACAGTAGGTCCCCCTTATCCATGGGATCAGTATCCACTAATTCACTTATCCCTGCTTTGAAAATACAAAAAAAATATGAAATGGAAAAAAACACAAACAACCCAGAAATATATATTTCTAACAATCAATTTCCCACAACTGGCCACAAGAAGTCTCTACAGGCCATGCTATGTACAGCATTCACTATTATAATAGTGTTTACTATTATCCACGGTTTTCAGCATCCACAGGGAGGGTTAGAAACAGCAATGTTGAGGAACAAAGCCATGTATCACAGCTTGAGGTCTTTAGAGGGAATGCTGAGACATTGCAGGCAAGACATAAACGATCACACCCAGATCTGGCCGCGTTCTGCCCCCTTACCTCCACGTTTTGGAGCATCTGCTTTAGCAAATAGATGAAATTCTGGATCTCTTCATTTTTCACGGCCAAGGTGGTGATGATCTTCCTCAGAGCCTCCTGGGAAACGGGAGAGGAAAGCCACAAACTGAACAGATCCCGTTTTTATCTGGGCAAAGAGGAGCTGAGATTTCCACCTATCTATTGGCCTATTTATTTGTTTGTTTGTTTGTTTGTTTGTTTGTTTCGAAGAAACAAAGTTTTAAGATTACATGGTTTCAAAACAAGCTATTCCAAAAGTTTGTGGGGGAGAAATGCAGCCGGCTGGCCTTGCAGGGCTGTCGTGAGAACAAAAGCAGAGGGAGGTATAAGGTGCAATTATTTATTTATTTACCTTTCCTGTCTGTTAAGGAAAAAAATGCCTGCAGTTTCGAAGAAACAAAGTTTTAAGATTGCATGGTTTCAAAACAAGCTATTCCAAAATTTTGTGGGGGAGAAATGCAGCCGGCTGACCTTGCAGGGCTGTCGTGAGAATAAAAGCAGATGGAGGTATAAGGTGCTAGCTAGACGGAAGGCAGGATATAAATGGAACCAATAAATAATAATTAAAGAGAATAAGTCATAGGTTAGGTGGCCGGAAAGCCTCTAGTACAGAATGCTGTGGTCATATGAAGTTTCTTTGAAAAATCCCTGAACTTAGAAAAGCAGCATCTCAAGCTGAGACCCACCCATCTCCGATCCTTGAGGGGTTAGAGTTCTACATGGCAGGGATTATCAATGTCAGATGTCGCCAGAGGCTTAGGATCAGATCATCCACTCCGTGGGACTGCTTCTCCCTCCCACCTTTTCTCCCAAACCTGATAACTTCCCACCGCCTGAACCGAGGTGGAGCCGTGGCAAAGCAATCATCTTTAGTCTCCTAAATCAAGGGCCACGGGAACCTAGCCACATTATTAAGGCACAGAGACAGAAAATCCCATAAGAATCATTCTTTTTTCCCCTTCCGCTAGCAATAAAACCCTCACAATCCCAAAGGGAATAACTCACTACCTTTCCAGCTTCGGGGCCACGTGGAATCTGGTGGACCTGATCCACCTGAGGCCAACTGCAAAGATTTTCCCCAGCTGCCAAGAACCCCTAAATTTCCTTCTTTTCCTCTTTACCAAAGATGAAATGCAAACCAATCGCATTTTCGATGTTGGTGTCATCTGGCCCTCCGCTACGGACACGATCCGTTAAAAGGACAATCCCCGCCATGTAGAACTCTAGCATATCAAGGATCAGGGGGTTTGCGCCTTGATGCGCTACTTTTCTAAATTCGGGGATCTTTCAAAGCAACCTCATGCCTTTCGGGAGTCTGTCCGTCTCGCATTTCCTTCCTCTTCTCCTGCCACCTTCCACCTTTCTCAGCAAGACGGTCCTTCGCAGGGAAGCCTAGGATGACAGCCTCAGCGTCAACATTTTTGCTTCCGTACCAGATGCTAAAGAAACAACGCGTGACTTTGATTTCGGGACTTAAGTTTAACAAGTGAGGAGAGACGGGGAGACAGGTCAGATCACAGCATCTCTTTCTTCCAGGATCACCCTCCATCATCTCCCCATGGATGTTTCCAAAATAAGTAAAAATAGGCCTCCTTCCTTCAAAGGCCTCTCCCCCCACCTCTGCTTCCTCACCTGCCCAGCCCTGACGGCTTTTCTCAAGAACCCAAGGAGGAAATGACAAAGCAGGTGAGGAACAAGCCGGTGAGATCAAGGTGGGCATAAAAACACACAAAAAGGTAAGAAACCCATCTTCCAATCCCACTTGGCACTCAGCGATTCAGAGGCCAAGACGGCTTTTTAAAATCAACGACCCAGCTCGGAGCATCTTTTCATCCCCCTTGCGGTCCAGCCATGGCTGTATCCTTTCCTTCCTGCCTGCCTCCCACCTCTCTCAGCATCGTTACCTTTTGGTCCTCCATGGCTGGAAGTCTGGAATCAAATTGGATTTCCTTGCTTTTTTTCCTTTTCTTTTTTTGATTCTCTTTCTGTTTTTTTGGAGCTCAGTTCCCAAAATTAGAGGCTCTGGAAAGAAAATGAAGTTGGGAGGGGGGGTGTTCTGGCGATGACGGTCCCCACCTCCAGCCCAGGCTGTGGGTTTAACAAAGCTGAGGGGGGAGAAGGGGAGGGGGAAGGCTGAGCACCCAGCCTCCCTGCACAGCTTGGAAGGCATGCTGGGAAATGTAGTCCTGGCCACAGAGAGACACACACACACAGGGAAAAAAAGACTGGAACACTGTAGACAAAGGGGGGGGACCTAAAAGCGACAAAGAGCAGGGAGAAAGGACATGAGCCAAGCCACCGCCGGGCTCCCTGATGTCTGCAGTGGATCTTTCTTGAAGGCAGCGGAGAGGATTCATGCAGGATTCGTGCCTGCTATGCAAAAACCAAAACTCAATATGGAGGAAACTCAGTCTCTTTAGCTCATTCTGAGACCCTTGTAGGAGGAAATATATTTTTGTTAAAGTTGTCAGAGATTACAGACTTTTCAAGCTTCTCCAGCAGGCTCAGCTCACCCGAGGTGGTCTTGCGTCCTGCCTCGTTCTCTCAAGCCACGTCTACCGTGGAATGGAGGGTGAATGGCACGTCCGTGGCCAAATGGACGGAGGCTGGAGAAGATGGCTCAGCACCCGATGTTTCTATGAGCCCAAGTGGCAGAATACTCTTGACATGGTGTGGGTACATTTGATAAGACATGATCAGCTCAGGGACTTGTGCCTCCCGCTGAGGAACCTCGGGTTGGGAGTTCGAATTCCCCCACTGGGCCTCCTGACAGGGGCAGACCCCATATCCATAGGGTGCCTTCCAGTTCTGCCCTTCAAGATTGCTATTATTTCATTAACTGAGCATAACCCCCCAAAAAAGCGGACATGAACAGTAAGTGAAATATTTGAAAATTGAAGCAAGAAGGATACCGTGAAAGACCGAATAGTTTTATTCGCCCAGATGTGCGTGTGTGTTTTTCTTTACTGACAGTTGAATACTTAGGGCTGCTCTCTGCACATGCACAAAGATGGACCACTGCCTCCAAGTGGATGTTAGGTCAATCTTCCTGGTCTTTAAGGTTCTCGAAGACGCCTTAGGGAGGTTTTTTGTTGTTGTGTTTTGCTTTGTTATAACACACTGACGTAGCTAATCCCTAAAAACTGTGAACATGCTGGGAAGGGCGACGGAGTGAGAAACAGCGAAAGGAAGCCCAACGAGGCAAATAAATGACTCATGAAGATTTTAGTGATAGAGTTGCTTCTTTCGCTTCTAGTGGGATCACCCTTTTTTTTCCTGCAGAAAATCAGGGAAAAAAGGAATCTGACCAATGGCTCTGAATCCAGCTTGTCTTTTCTAGAAAACCTAGTAGCCCTGAATACGACATGATGTGGGAAATAAATGAATGATTTTATTCCATCTCTCCCCCTCGGACTCTCACCATCTTGTGGTTTCCTGTTCGAACTCTGTAGATCTCTCTGTATGACCACAGCACTTAAAAAAAATCTAAACCACTGAATGAGACTCCAAAGTTCATAATCTTTCCGGCCATGCAAAGTGTTTCATGGTGGTTTAGATGAGAATAGGAAATTAAGAGCCGTTGGCTTTACAAATGACCGGCTCTTTGGTATGGCCTGACCCAACTGTGGTTTTAGGATTCTCCTCCTGTCTTTCTGCCAGCAGGAAAAAGGCATTTTTATATTTCTATCATTTTCCTCTCAAAGGATGGAGAATTGCTTGCGAAACATATAGGAAGACTCAGAAGCCCTCAATCAAAGAAAGAAAATGCAGAAAGAAATCTATTTCAGGATGGCAGAGATCCAAACTGGGAGGGTTAAAATGGCTTGACAGAGCCGTCTCTCCGAGACACCCAGAAACATGGCAACTTCCACAAGGGAAAACCTGGAGATTATGTTTAGTGGTACATGGAATGGACGGATATAGATGGGGGTTCTCTGTCATCCATCTCCTTCCATTATAGGGTTCTAATAGGTTTTCAAAGTGCCTGAAAGGTTTGAGAAGAAATTTCCCGTCGTCTCCAGTGAATTCCCATGGCTGAGCAGGATTTGAACCCGGGTCTCTGAATCCCAGTGGGATGGACAATCCGCTAAACCATGCCGACTGGAGACACAGGTAGGTGGACTTTTAACCCTTTCCCTGATTGCTAACGAAGGGAGGAGGTTTGTTCAGTCGTTCAGCCGTGTCCGACTGACTCTTCGTGACCCTATGGACCAGAGCACGCCAGGCCCTCCTGTCTTCCACTACCTCCCAGAGTTGTGTCAAATTCATGTTGGTCACTTCAGTGACACTGTCCAACCATCTCGTCCTCTGTCATCCCCTTCTCCTCTTGCCTTCACACTTTCCCAATATCAGGGTCTTTTCCAAGGAGTCTTCTCTTCTCATGAGATGGCCAAAGTATTGGAGCCTCAGCTTCAGGATCTCTCTTTCCAGTGAGCACTCAGGGTTAATTTCCTTTAGAATTGATAGGTTAGTTCTCCTTGCAGTCCAGGGGACTCTCAAGAGCCTCCTCCAGCACCACAATTCAAAAGCATCAATTCTTCGGCGTCAGCTTTCTTTATGGTCCAGCTCTCACTTCCGTACATCACTACAGGAAAAACCATAGCTTTGATGATGCAGACCTTTGTTGGCAAGGTGATGTCTCTGCTTTTTAAGAAGTTGTCAAGGTTTGTCATTGCTTTCCTCCCAAGAAGCAGGCGTCTTTTAATTTCATGGCTGCTGTCTCCATCTGCAGTGATCATGGAGCCTAAGAAAGTAAAATCCATCACTGCCTCCATATCTTCCCCTTCTATTTGCCAGGAGGTGATGGCAGTGGCCATGATCTTGGTTTTTTTTGATGTTGAGCTTCAGACCGTTTTTTGCACTCTCCTCTTTCACCCTCATTGCAAGGTTCCTTAAATCTTCCTCACTTTCTGCCTTCAGAGTGGTATCCTCTGCATATCGGAGGTTGTTGATATTTTTTCCGACAATCTTAATTCCAGTTTGGGATTCCTCCGATCCGGACTTTCGCATGCT